GGGAGACATTCAATGATCTGGCCTTCGGTGACATCTTCCTGCACCTGTTCACCAGCAACCTCACCCTCCTCAGCGATGAGTTCGCTCAAGAGGAGTTCTGCACTAGCCTTTTTGATGACTTCTTCCTCCCCACCTGCTTGAGGTACTCTCCTTTTCTGAAACAGCCTCACATGGCTCTCAGCCAGAGAATTTGCAGGCAGTGGCCTTCCTGTTAGGCTGGTGCTGTCATTGAACTGGGCTGTATTCAATCTACTGTAATGCCCGCTAAAAGCTTTTGTTTGTTTATTTAGGCAAGCCTACCTGACTATGCCGTTTTGTTGGGCGGTTTTTGTTTCTTTTTTAAACTGAGATTGTATCTATTTTTTCATAAATGTTATCTACCTTTTTAAAAAAAGTTCAATTTCATTAGTATTTTCTTAAGAATGTTCTATATTTTCTTCTGCAAGCCATTTTAGAGGGTTTGGGGTTTGACCAGCCCCCTCCACAATAAGGGCCACCTGCCCCCCACTACAGCAATGTACCCAGAGGGGACAGATGGGGAGTGGACTGCCCAACCCCCAGCCAAGAGTCCTTCAGCTCTAGGCTTTTCATCTCTTCTGCTACTTAACAGGAAGGAGAATGTACACAGACACGTGCTGAGGCTCCTGCTTCACCTCCACCACAAGGTGGCACCTGCCAAGTTGGAGTCCCTGCAGAAGGCACTGGAGCCTCCCAAGCAGGTAAAGTGGTGGGTGGGAGATGGGGTGAACACAAGCACCACAGTCATTCGTTTTGCCCTGAATGATTTTCTTGGAAGGCACGCTATGCTTTGAACCGGAAGCCATATCTGAATTTGTACACATGGACACTTCTGGTGGGGAACCTCAGACCCCCCCCCCCCCGGGATTTAATGTGGTGTTTCAGGTCTTTCTATATGGGCCTCGCAACTATCACCAGCCACACCATTCACTCGTCCTGCTTTGTACCTGAACAGGGTGAGACCTTTGGTGTAGAGGGAGCAGTTCCCTTGGAAGAATCTGAGACTGGTGGGAGGTGGGTTCTGAATCCAGGAGGTACCACTTCGGGCTACCTGATTGGCAAGCTCAGGCTTTGCATTGTGACCTGCATTTATCACCAGTGGACCTTCCTGTCTCAGATGGTCACTCCTCTGTGTCAGATCTAGCTCAGTATTGTCTTCCCGGACTGACGGTGGCTCCCCAGGGTTCCAGACAGGGAGTCTTTCCCAGCCCTACCTGGAGATGCCAGGGATTGAACCTGGGAACTTCTGCATGAAGCAGATGCTGTACCACTAAGGGCACGGTGCAATCCATACCACATATGCTTGAGAGTGAGGGAATGGTGCAGTCTTTCGGGCCGTAGAGTTCAAAACCTAAATTCAAGGCCACCTGCCTTAATGGAGGATACAGAGGAGCGGGGGAAGGATGCAGAGAAAATAGCCTCATGTACAAAGGTGCAATTTGCATTCACTCAATGCCCCCGATCCATAGGTTCCCCCCCTCCTAAAGGAGAGTTTCGTTGACTGTCAGACATACCATTCTCTCCTCGGCAGCGTTTCCAGGTCCGCCTTCCTTGGTGCCATTTGCTTTATTCATAATTTTGCACGGTCCCCCAGCTCAACAACTAAACACAGCTGATGGATAAACACACCTTTGAAAGTGTGTGTATATGTGTTTAAACAGACAGCCTACAAGAGTGGGAAGAAATGCTAGTAACAGCTACAGTGTGATTTAACAGCTTCAGGTTTTGAGGTTTCTTCACCTTTCTAAAACTTGTGTTTTTGTCGGGCAGAGTGGAGAAGCCTTGAAGGAGCTTTACAACCAGCTCATTGAGAAACTGGAACTCCGCAAGCCCAGCCCTGTCCAAGGCGCCGCCGAAACCCCAACTGTGGACTTGCCCCTGCCAACAGCGGCTCCTCCACCCTCACTCTAGGCTGTGCTTCCCCACAGCCTATACGACAAAGTTTATTGTGTTGATCTCCTAGCAGAGACCAGACCCACGTCTTGATGCTTGAAACACTCCAGTCATAACCTTTTGCCTGTTTTTCGGATTGGGGTTGCCAAATCTCATCTGGCCTGTTGCCCCAGAAGACAGCTCTGCCCTCAAGATTGGCCTTCTAAGGCAAATTTGATACAGCTGTCCTTATTTGATTTGTAAACTGCTTTGGGGGTATAAAAAATAAATATAATAGCTGTAATAATAATAATGGATTTGGTATTATGGGGAGAGGAAACTGACCATGTGTGTATTTTTTTGTATTTTTTTTTTTTAGATGTTTGCATATAGAAGCCTTGTAATTTAATGGGAATGAGTTATTTGTGAAGCTTGGCTTCTCTTTTTTTTAATTAAATATTTTCTTGGTTTACAAAAGTATGTGCAATGTCTCTTTTTTTTCAAATAACATTTTTTACGGATCAGTTTCATTTGTTGAGACATTAGGAGGAAAAGGGGGAAAGAGATGGAGGGGGGAAAGGTGAGTGGGGGTGGGGTGGCAATGTTTCTATTTTACTTAATATGTGTAGGGTTTGGTGTCAGCATTGCTCATGCTGTTCACTTGTGTTCCTTTGGTGGTGAGAGAGGTTGGGGTTGGCCTAGGGTGGGGTTGGTTGGTTGTGATTGGCTGTGGTGGTCTTTGTTTTCGTGTGTGAGTGGGGTGGGTGGGTGTTTTGGATCAGGTTAAGCCATATTGATTTGTATGTTCTTGGTGGATTTTTGTCATCGTCTTGTTGGGCTGTGTATGTGATAAAGGGGAGCCATACCGGGGTGAAGGCATCGTCTTCTAGCCTGGCTTCTCTTTTTAGAAGAAGATAATGAAGAAGGGTTTGGACTTGATATCCTGCCTTTCACTCCCCTTAGGGAGTCTCAAAGCGGCTAACAATCTCCTTTGCCTTCCTCCCCCACAACAAACACTCTGTGAGGTGAGTGAGGCTGACAGACTTCAGAGAAGTGTGACTAGCCCAAGGTCACCCAGCAGCTGCATGTGGAGGAGCGGGGTAGCGAACCTGGTTCACCAGATTACGAGTCCACCGCTCTCAACCACTACACCACACTGGCTCTCATTGTCTTTAGAGAAGACAATGAAATAAGTTTCAAAGGCTGTCCGTTTACTTAATCTCTTACTTCACAAATTCCCCTTTTGGTTTGGGGGTGAGTCCCACTGAATGTGTTAATGTACCAGGCAGGGTCTCTTAATAGTGGCTTCCATGCACCAGAGTTATCTCCTGACCCACTGAGCACAGGGTGGGGGATAACACGCAGTCCCTCCAAGTACTGCTGGAGGTACTCCAGCTCTTATTGGCCCCAGCCAGCATGGCCAGAGGTCAAGGGCGATGAGAGTTGTAGTCCAATGCCTACAGGGTTCCCCGGCCCTAGCACTCATGCTTTGCTTCCGTGGTGCCATCTAGGGTGCATCACTGTCCCCATAAAAATCCAATCTCAGAGCTTGCTCTTGGGTCTGAGCAGTTTGCCTCTTAAGTATGAAGAGAGGGGACAGCTGATCACAGTGCCGCAGTATCAGTGACCATAGCACAGCCTCCAGGATTTGTGGTCCAGTGAAAAAGGTTTTCTTGATTTCTGCATCCAGGTTCAGCTCTGCTCAGACCTGGAGTCCCCTCAGAGGCAAAGCGTGACCTCCCAACAGAGATCTGCACCACCGATGACCTGTCTGAGCCATTAGAACCAGACCTTCCCATCCCAGGACCAGGGGTCTCAACAACATTTGCTTGGATTTCTGACCAGCTCTTGCCAAACCATCCCCACAATTGCCTCTAGAGACACAAAAAGCAAAGGAAATGCAAGAAATGCAGGGGAGTGACAAGGCTGCCAGCAAGTGCCTACCTAGAAACATGTGAGGGTTATTGGGAGGAGGCGGCATCATTATTCATAGGATTGTAGAGTTGGAAGGGAACCCCAGGGGTCATCTAGTCCAACCCACTACAATGTAGGAATTGCAGCTAAAGAATCCACGACACATGACCACCCACCTTGGTTTAAAAACCCTCAATGGAGGGGAGAGTCCACCACCTTCTAAGGGAGTCTGTTTTCCAGTGTCAGATAGCTCTGATCCCCAGGAAGTTCTTTCTAAAGCTAAGTCAGAAAATCCTTGCATGTGATTTGAATCTGTTGGTTCAGGTCCTGCCCTCTGAAGCAGCAGAAAGCAAGCTTGATCCGTCATCCATGTGACAGCCCTTTATTTGAAGGTGTTGTTTATTACCTGCCCTTCAACAGCAGCTCCAGGTTACAACAATTTCAAATTCGGTATTTTAGAACTGTTAAAACAAATCATAGTCACCTTGAAAATACCTTGGGTATCAAAGTCAATGGGAAAGAAGTGCATCTTCAGTGAGAAGTGCATGTAAGCATCTTCCTGGATGCAGAGCAGGAAGGCAGTTTAAAGTGCCAAAGTCATGGCTTTGAAGTAGCCCTAGGTGAGTTTGTGGTACTGGAAGGAAGCACAAAAAGAAGCACCACTGCCAGTGTTCCATGCACCCCTCTCAATTGGAGCCATAGTTCTTAATTCTCTCTCTCCCGTGGTCCTTGAATAGACAGATCATCCTCTACCAAGTATTCTAAGCTAAGCTGCAAAGAATTAACTCCTAGTCTTACAAGCCAATATAGGATGCAGCTATAGCATCCTTGGCAGATGACTGTCCAGCTGTTGTTTAAGTATCTCCAGTTCCCAAGGCAGGCAGCTCCACTGTCAAACAGCTTGTGGTACTAGGAAGTCCCTCCTGATGTCCAGCCTTGCTGTTTCTACCCATTTCCTTCTTATTAGGTGGACCACTATTCTGGTCCCTTGGGTCTGCAGATATTCCTGGGCTACAACTCCCATAATTCCTGGCCAGCTTAGCCCTAAAGCCAGGGATGATGGGAGTTGTAGTCCAGGAACATCCAGTGATCCAAGGTTGAAGACCACTGAGCTAGACTCGTTGCTTTCATTCTCAAATATATATATATATTTAAAAACAGTTTTGTGAAATAAGATTTTATTGTTGCTGCTATTGTCAAGACTTTCACATGTCTAGAGTATATTTTTAAAAAATTGCCCCAACATTGTCCTTGTTCAGCTAGATCTGACAGTGAAATTGGGATTTCTGCATCCGAAGTCCACCAGGTGTCAGTCCATGGGGGCTTGCACCTCCAGCTCCTCATGACTTTAAAAGAGTTTATCTGCCCCTTTCCCTCACGGGTGTGGGGTGCAAGCATCCCAGCCACATTTCTCCCTTACTGCATGCTGGCAAATGGTTACATGCCACGGGTGGGTGGGAACTGGGGACCCATGGTGTCAGTTGCCTTCGCTGGAGAAGTCCTGGCTGATATATGGGATGACAATGGCGCTCCGGGCATGAGTGATAGCGGCTCTCCTGCTCGCGCCAAGGCCCGGCTGGATTCCAGTGGTGTCCACTTCTCCAAAAGTCTCACCATTCCATTTCTCTCTGCTGCTGAAGAGCTGGGTCAGAGAAAAGCCTTCATAGCAATCCTTTGCCGACACGGGTCTCAGCTTCGGGGGGCTCCCTGGACACGCGTGGGACTCAGTAGGCGCATTCCTAGCACCTCCTTGTATGAACCAGTCTGGGTCATACCCCATATCTCCACTCCATCCTTCTTTGCCCCCTTTCCTTGCAGGGTACCCACGGAAGACGTCTGCTGGGGGCACTGCTTTTTCAGGAGCTGGCTGTTGCTCTGCTGGGCTTGCAGGGTTTTCTTCAGGGAACGCCTCTGCCTCTTTGTTGACAAGCACCAATTTATTGATTTTGTACGTCAGGCTGGCAAGTCCGTGCGGTAGGGTGTTCAGGGGCATGCTTCTCAGAAACTCACCGCCAATCAGGCATTTGGCATCAGTGCTTGCTTTCCCCCTAGGTGTAGAGGAAGAAGCAAGGGGGTGTGAGGACCACAGAGAGACAGTTGCACTAATTCTTTTTCGTGAACTGCCTGCTGAATTTGGGCCCAGGATAAGTAGCCAGAATGCCTTCTTCCCATCAGTGGGGACTGGTCCATTAGGGCAAATAGGGCACTGACCCCCAGCAAGCTCACTCTGCCAAACCAGCCCCAACTTGCCCAAATACTTACAAATCCAGGGTGCGTGTCGGATTCCTCCTCCTTAATGTCAGTGTTGCTCTTGTAAAATTCAGCAGGGAGGAGGATGGGGCAAAGCTAGAATTAGTTAGCTCAGCCTATCATTGGTTCTGGCGCCACCTACTGTTGGGCTCCCCATCTTCCACCCTACCAGTTTCAACAGGTACCAGCCACCACTGCCTCCTGTACAAACCAACTTCTGTTTTTAGGAAGAAGGATTGCTGTCACTAAGCAGCAATGCCCCCACATGGCGCTTTTCTAAGCTGCTGCTCCAAACGACTTACAATCCAAAATTCAGCAGAGGAAGGGGCTGGAAATGGAAGCAGGGGCAACTGAGGAAATGAACATGCCTTTAATCAGTACTAACATTACATAGGCTTCGGGACATAGGAAGCTGCCTTTAAATGCATCAGAGAATCTAGCTCACTGTCTAACACTGGCTGGTAGCAGCTCTCCAGGGTTTCAGACCAGAGCCATTCCCAGTCCTCCCTGGAGATGCTGGGGATTGAATGAACCTGGGACCTTCTGCATGCAAGGCAGATGTTCTACCACCAAGCTGAAGCCCTTACTTAGCCACAGGTACATAGAAAGCTGCCTTATACTGAGCCAGACCTTTGGTCCATTTAGTTCAGAATTGCCCACACTGACAAGCAGAAGCTCCCCAGGGTTTCAGGTTATGGGAACTAATCCTAACTGTACCTTTGAGCTTTCTTTGTCTCCTGTTGGCACTGAAGGTTCTGGATCAATGGCTTATGTCTTGCATTTGTTGTAGAGAGAGTACAAGGCTGTTGGTTTTCATTTTTGCCAGTGCAATAGTAAACGGACTTTCCTGCAGAGGAAAGACAGATTTATAAAACATAATGGGCGCCATCCTCAAAGGGTAACAGTCTGACAGCAAGGCAGGCTTTGAGACTCTCTGGACTTAATAGCCTTACAGAGCAGAGAGGTAGATGTGAATGTCCTGTCGATCCAAGGATCTGCACAGGGTGCAGGGAATGTCCTGTCGATCCAAGGATCTTGCACCTCGCAAGACGAATGCCTCGCAAGACAAAAAACTCGCTAGACGAAAGGTTTTTCCGTTTTCGAGTTGCCTCGCAAGACGAATTTCCCTATGGGCTTGTTTCGCAAGACGAAAACGTCTCGCGACTTTGTTTCCTTTGTCTAAATAATAATTCGCAAGACGAAAAATTCGCTAGACGACAAAACTTGCGGAACGAATTAATTTCGTCTTGCGGGGCACCACTGTATGTCAGGGCTGCCTCAGGTCCCAGCTCACAGAGGACCAATGCCAGTCCGTTGCTATATTAAATAGTCTTTATTGAAGTCCAGTTTTTCATTTACAGCCACGCGCGCAGCTCTACGTCTTAAACGCTAGACCGCTGAAGCTCCGTCTGAGTCTCCTCCCCCCAGACACCAGTTTAAGACCCTAGCCTTGCTCCACCTCTTTCTCTGCTCCCTTTTCCTCTGGGTCCGCCTGTCCGTCGGGGCTTTCCCCTTTCTAGACTCTTCTGACACTGAGTCCCCCGAGTCTTCCCCCTCCCTCCGGCGGGCTTTAGGACCTGGTTCCCAATCCGGGCTTCCTGCTGTCCCGCTCGCCTGTACATTTGAACTTGGCGCGCGCGCCCAGCCTGCCACCTTCCTTCTGACCGTTATACTGCTCCTGTCACTGCTCCCCTCTTCGGGAACGCTAGCTGGGCCTGACTCCTCCTCCCTGCTTGCCGGAGGATACACTGGCCCTGACCTATGGGACTCTTCCCCCCCACTACGTTCCGGTGGGGAAGCTGGTCCTGATTTCCAGCTACTGCTCTGGGAGTCTCCGCTGGCCCCCTGCTTCTGGTGTGTCCCCCCTGGGACCCCCCTTGCCCTGGCCATCGGCGCCCCCTTCTGGGAATCTTCTGATTCACTGGAGAGGCTCATGGAATCTCTCGGGTCACTGTCATTCTGCCCTCCGCTGCCCTCAGATTCCTCCCCTTCGCTCTCCATTTCCTCTCTCCCCTGCGCCTCTGCTCCTGAGCCCCTGACAATATATAACAAATCTTTATTGGTTTTTACATATACAGTAACATATATATATAACATAATACACACTCGTTACAAATATCTAGGCGCATATTAACATAGATTATTCCTATTAATCCATACAGATAATCCAAATATCCAGCATATAAAGTCCTGAGAACAGCACGAAAGTTGTTTTATCCGTTACAAATTGTTCTTCCCAGGGGGAAACACAATTCAAGCCATACTACTCAGGATAGCCATATCTGCAAAGATACTTTGGAGAGTATCTTGAAGACCAGTTTCATTTGCATAGTGAATAAATGGCCATCATATTATGTATCATTTGTCCATTTGCCCCCTGTTCTGTTTTATCACTTTTAAGTTGTGAGTTGTTTTCTCAGCAACAGCCAGTCACCATTTTTAACATACTAAGTCCAGGGACAGTCTTTGTAAAGCATTCCAGTTTCAGCTATAGATAGCCAATGGGTTTACTTTTTGTTTTGTTTTACCTGGATATATAAACTGGTATTCGGAGACTGCCTGATATTGCCTCTTCTCTACAGCGCTGGGTTGTTTCAACCTTTTTGTCCAGACAGCATGGGAGACAAAGGGATTGAATTGAAGGTAGGAAGGGAAGCATTACGTAAATTACGGTACATTGAAAGACTTGTCATTTAAGTTGAGCCCACCTATTCATTCTTGATGTTGACCATATGGGCTCATCCACAACTCAGCTTGTCCCACTGCTTTCCTCCAGGAAAGCCTGTGGTTTACTTCTGAAGTGGACCAAATGGCAATCGGGTTTCCCATGGTTTGCTACTTATTCCAATTCAGCAATAAAGAGTGGGTTTTCCAGGGCAAAGCTGTGGGGCAAATGCAAAACTGCTTGGACCTGTGCCTAGAAAGCATGCAGCAAGCGGAAAACCACTCAGCCCCGTGCTTTCTAGGTGAAGTGTGGATGAGCCCTTGCAATCGTCCTATGTGTTAAATGTGCCAGAGATCTATTTCTGGCTAGTGATGTCAAAAGCACTTCTGTAAAGCAAATCATGTTGTGCACAGGCACAACATGATGAGTTAGATGCTCATGGAGTCCTTAAGTACAGGCTCTAGGAGACCGTCTTGCTGCAGGCTTGTGTTAAGAGCCTTGACAGGGAGCTGCATATAACACCCTCAATAATCTCCCTATGTTATCAGCATCTTCATGGAGTGTTAATCTGTCAGTCATGGTTCAACAGACAATGTGTGGTTTTAGAAGTGAGTTAAATGTGATCTGTAATCAGATATCCCAGTGTGCTTTTAAAATCTTAAAAGCACCAGTGGAGGCCTCTGATGTTGATGAAAACTGTAGCACAAGAGGAGGGTGGTGCGTAACCTTGGTGTTTTCCTTCTCAAAACACCCACCCCCCAAAGTTGCTGTTAGCCCTGGGGTGTGGCGCAGAAGGAGACAGGTACAATATTTAACCTACAGGGTCCTTCCTCACAGCAACACACTGTGGGCAAAGTCACCTAGAAACAGACACACATTTTGCACAACAGCAGCTAATTAAAGTTTGAAATGTCCTTAGAGCTTTTAAGGATGACTTTTAAAAGTTCTATAGGACATTGTGAAATTTAGTTTGCTGCTGTGACAAGAGTACAGGCACCTCTCTCACAATTCTGGGCTCTGAAAGGGGACACCATTCGCATCCTGGGTACGCAGGGTTGCAATTTTAAATTAATATTAAAATTGATTTTTGGATCATGAAATCTCAGAATGGCATTGAGAATAGGGAGATGTTGTCAGGTAACTTCTATCCAAGGGCTACAGCTCAGTGGTAAAACACTCACTTTGCAAACAGAAGGTCCCATGTTCAGGCACCGGCATCTCTAAGTAGTGTTGGGAAAGACCCCCATTTGAAACCCCAGAGAGCTGCTGCCAGTCAGTATAGTCAGTATTGAACTGGATGGACCAATGGTCTGACTCAGTACAAGGCAGCTTCTTATGCACTTGTGTTAAGGACGATGGGGGTAACAGTTTCCAGAGAGCACCACACATTTATTCAAAACACAGTCTTCTTGTTGCATTACCTTGGGTTTTCTCTTATGCTGATAACATTTTTTCGTTTTTCAGAACTCTCCACCCTTTTGCTGGGCTCATCTTTCTCCTTAGCTTTCACCCCAGGAATGTTTAACTGTCCCTGTGTTTGCAAAGGAAAGGAAGACATGAGGAGGGGCAGGACAGCACATCTGGATCACAAATCTAAACCAGCTTCAAGCTATTGACTGGCTGCTATGGCTCTGTGCACCTGGCTAGGCATGCTGAAGGTTTTCGGCAGACATCTAAAACAATGTAGTCAAGGCACCTGCCTGGCGTCAATAGGCAGGTGTTCCAGAGCACTGGTGTTGCCACACTTAGTATTATATTGTTTTCCCTGTGACTTAGACTTGTTAATGCTTGTTACTCAAAGGTTGCCAACTGACTTAGATTTAAAACATAAATATAAATGCATTATACCATACAAGCAGAATGAAACAACCCCCATTATAGTCACTAGTCTGGAATAGGATGGATTATGTACAAAACAAAGCAAAGTTTGTTTGTTTGTTTGATGGTGAAATCATTAAGAATAGCCTTGCTGGATCTACTCCAGCATCGTCAAGGCCAGCCCACCTATGAGGCAAGGGGAGGTGACTGCCTCAGGCAGCAGGATCCACAGGGGCAGCAGATCCTGATGCAGATGGTTGTTCTCCACTTGTTCCCAGTATAGATCTTCACTCACCCCTTCCTCCCTTGCGGAGAGGGAGACACCATTTTGCGGCTCGCCTAAAGGGCCAAAATGTCTTGGGCTGGTCCTGAGCATCCTGTTCTTACAGTGGCCAACCAGATGCATCTGGGAAGCCCACAAACAAAACCTGAGTGCAACAGCACCCCACCCCCCACCCCCCGCAATTCCCAGCAACTGGTATTGAGAAGCAATACTGCCTCTGACAGGGAGGCAGGAAGATAGCCATCGTGGTGTAGCCATTGATAGCCTTCTCCTCTGTGAATTTGTCTGATCCTCTTTTAAAGCCCTCCAAAGGGAAAGTACATTAATACATACATAAATCATACATACTGTATTTTTCAGTGTATAAGATGCCCCCATATATAAGACGGCCCCTATTTTTTGAGCCCAAAATTAAGAAATAAATAATTGCAACATTCCGTGTATAAGACTACCCCCAATTTTAAACTTAAAAAAAAATGTGGGGGGGGATATAGTCTTATACATGGGAAAATACAGTAATTTTCTTTTCCTTCTGCCTTTCTATAGTTAAAGCCATGCTCAAGGCGGCTTATTATTTATACCCAGTTCATTTGGCTGGGTTTCCCCAGCCACTCTGGGCGGCTTCCAACAAAGTATTAAAATACAGTGGTCTGTTAAACATTAAAAGCTTTCCTAAACAGGACTGCCTTCAGATGTCTTCTAAAAGTCTGGTAGTTGTTCTCCTCTTTGACATCTGATGGGAGGGTATTCCACAGGGCAGGTGCCACTACCGAGAAGGCCCTCTGTCTGGTTCCCTGTAACGTGGCTTCTCGCAGTGAGGGAACTGCCAGAAGGCCCTCAGCACTGGACCTCAGTGTCCGGGCAGAATGATGGGGGTAGAGACTCTCCCTCAGGTATACTGGACCGAGGCCACTTAGGGCTTTAAAGGTCAGCACCAACACTTCAAATTGTGCTCAGAAACGTACTGGGAGCCAATGTAGGTCTTTCAAGACCGGTGTTATGTGGTCTCGGTGGCCTCTCCCAGTCTCCAGACTAGCTGCCGCATTCTGGATTAATTGCAGTTTCCGGGTCACCTTCAAAGGTAGCCCCATGTAGAGCGCATTGCAATAGTCCAAGCAGGAGATAACTAGAGCATGCACCACTCTGGCAAAACAGTCCGCGGGCAGGTAGGGTCTTAACCTGCATACCAGAAGGAGCTGATAAACAGCTGCCCTGGACACAGAATTGACCTGCGCCTCCATGGACAGCTGTGAGTCCAAAATGACTCCCAGGCTGCACACCTGGTCCTTCAGCGGCACAGTTACCCCATTCAGGGAGTCCTCCACACCTGCCCACCCACTGTCTCCCAGAAACAGTACTTCTGTCTTGTCAGGATTCAACCTCAATCTCTTGGCTGCCATCAATCCTCCAACCGCCTCCAGACGGTTGAAGAAAACGAATCCTTGCCCTCTGCTCCACACCTCTTTCTCCCTGCCCAGGGCAGTCCTGTCCTCTGCCTGCCCCTCAGAGCCAGCTTGGCACATGGGGCTGGGCCTCAGCAATGGCAGCCTCTCCTCCTCCTTGCTCACCCCCCAGCAGCTGCTACAAGCTGCCCAAGGGAGGAGTTTGGCAAGCGCGACTGTAGAAAGGCCACAGACAGGCCACAGGACTCTCCCTCGCTGCCACTGCTAGGGACAAGCGCTGGTTCATTCTCCTCCCTGGGCTGTTGTGGCGGCAGCACTGGCAGGGGGAAATAGGGACATTCTGGGGTCGAAACTGCAATTGTAATTCATGTAGTTTGGATACCTTGAATGGAAGGATTTCAACTTTGGGTTCTGGTGTGAAGTTGACTATGGCCCCCTTGAAACAGCAACACTCTTGGCTTTGGAGTGGCAGCCTGTCCAAGGCAAAAGAGACAAAAAGCAAATAAACATCTGCTAGGAATCATCTGTACTCCTGGCATTACAACAGGCATCCTTTTTACCATGCGCTCATGATGCCGCTCTCAATACTGTTTGTAGCTGCAAATGTTCCAGGGCAGACAATGCTGCTTTGTTTCCAACCGGTGCATGTCCTGTAACTTCCTGCCGAAATTATTGCATTTGTTTTCATACCACAAATGCTCTGGTTCGTTTTATTTTATTTACTTTGCTCAGTTTTTATTGTGCTTATAAGCAACAATAACGCAGTAGCACTGAAGAAGAACAGCTAATAAAGTGGAATGACATGTGGATGTTCCAGTATAAACCCACCACTAATGCACTATTAGTGCACGTGGGTGTTGCTGTGGTCTAAACCACAGAGCCTAGGGCTTGCTGATCGGAAGGTCGGCTGTTCGAATCTTTGTAACAGGGTGAGCTCCTGTTCTTCGGTCCCTGCTTCTGCCAACCTAGCAGTTCGAAAGCACGTCAAAGTGCAAGTAGATAAATAGGTACCACTCTGGCGGGAAGGTAAACGGTGTTTCAATGCGCTGCTCTGGTTTGCCAGAAGCAGCTTCGTCATGCTGGCCACATGACCCAGAAGCTGTCTGCGGAAAAACGCTGGCTCCCTCGGCCAGTAAAGCGAGATGAGCGCCACAACCCCAGAGTCGTCCGCAAGTGGACTTAACAGTAAGGGTTCCCTTTACCTTTACCTTTAATGCACTATTATTGTGTCAATGACATGTTGCAGAATACTCCCACAAAAGGCAAAAGCAAAAGCCCTTAGGCCAACGTGTCCTGCATCCAACCTTCCATCATCTCAAAGTGTACCATTATCAAGAGCACCTTTACATGAATTTTAAGGGTTGCCATCCCATCTCGTGCTGGGAATTCTAGCTCTGTGAGAGGGGAAACTCTAGCTTCCAGTATTGTTTAGGGGAAACTGATGCACTTTAAGTGTGTGTTAAATGTGTTTTATCATGTGCTTTATCAAGCCCCTGACCCAGGATTTGGAACAGATCCATTATCCCAAATTTTGACCTAACTCCCAGGCAGTATGTCATCTGCATTCATTCATTCATTATTTTATTTAATAAGCTTGGTTGGAGGAAAAATATCCTCAATGAGATAAAACAATAACATTTTCATTAAAAGATTTTACAACCACAATTTAAAGCATACAGAAAGTTAAAACGGCAATAAAACAGACTAAAACAAATAAAATTACATCCTAACTTTCTAAACACCTGGGTAAAAAGGTAAAGGTAAAGTTAAGTCCAGTTGCGAACGACTCTGGGGTTCCATCTTGCTTTATTGGCCGAGGGAGCCAGCGTACAGCTATTGTGGCCACCATGACTAAGCCACTTTCTGGTGAACCAGAGCAGCGCACGGAAATGCCGTTTACCGTCCCGCCCGAGCGGTACCTATTTATCTACTTGCACTTTGACGTGCTTTCAAACTGCTAGGTTGGCAGGAGCTGGGACTGAGCAACGGGAGCTCACCCCGTCACGGGGATTCGAACCGCCGACCTTCTGATTGGCAAGTCCTAGGCTCTGTGGTTTAACCCACAGCACCACCCACGTCCCTAAAACATCTGGGTAGGCTTGTCTAAATAAGAATGTCTTCAGCAGGCTCCAAAAAGAATACAGCAAAGGTGCCTGCCTGGTATCAATAGGCAGGGAGTTCCAAAGGGTTGGTGCTGCCACACGATACAATTGAGTTCTTACAGATGCAGTGCAGGTATTAGGTGCCACTTGTGAAGAGTTGTAGATGGGGAGAAGCCAACGAGAGGTGGCCCTTTACCTAAGGGCTGAGCAGCTTCTGCCTTGCACTTTGAGCTTGCTGGTGCGCTTGGTCCTTTGCCGTTGGGAGCCGCAGGATTTTATTCGCCGCCTCCGAATGCGCTTCTTCTTCTTCCGTGGCTGCTTAATGATATGTGCTGAGCTGGGTTCCAACATGGTGGGCTTGCTTTTTGCCTTCTGGGCAACTTTCGTTAGACTTCCTCCGTACATTTGGGTACCCAGTGACCTGTTTGCAAAGATGGGAGCGATTATGTGAACAGCAGGGAGGGGAGGGGAGGGAGAAAGAAATGAGCACCTGAGCACAATAGGTCAAGAGGAGTTTCTGGCAAAAGTATGCTTTCTAACAAAGGAATTCATTCCCTTAGGCTCAGGGAATGAATGAGCGGTCCTCACAGCCTCTCTGTTGTTGGAAATGCAGCAGCAGAGATCATTTAGGTTGTAATTTAGGGTATTAATTCTGTTCACTGTAAACTACTTAAGGAGTGATGGTGGAGGAATGGCTTAGCAGTCAGAACATGTAGCATGATCTCTAGTAAGGTATCATATGCTCTGATTGGCTGTGTAGTTCTGTGGGAGCTTTCCTCTGCATGTTGGTTGAATGTCTCCTCGCTATGTAGACGGCCTGGAGTAAGAAAGAGAAAACAGGCTCCCACAACCCTCCTGCAACCATTCAGCAAACTGGTTGTGCTGTCCTGCGATAAGTGTGTGGTCTAGCACTCCAGCCGTGGCCCCCTAGGGGCCCCCAGGATATTCCAAGGGGACTACAGGTGAAAAATGCATAAATGGGAGGCCACAACATGAGGTTGGGAAAAACTGGTCTAGCTTCTTGGTCTCAGAACTGTGCCCATGATCCAATCAAACCCACTGGGTAGACAGAAAGGGGGATTGACTTCTTATCTGGGCCAAAATGTTTAATAAATGGAACTTACCGCGTAATTAATTAAAAGCCTTTGTAATCAACTCAAATCAGCAGGCAACATGTTGCTTTTGGGTTGTACTAAGCTGAGTCGGTGGTGGTGGTGGTCGGGACTCCTCTAGGGCAGGAGGCCCACTTGACATTGGTCAATCGGACAACATTACTGGATGACATTGGCTGATAGGCAGGGCGGGGCAGGGTTCAATCCTGCTTGGTGCAGCTTCGTCAGTGGATCCCATGAGGGAAATGCACTGGCAAAGCAGAGAGCAGGATTGATGTCTCTGTGCATTAGCAAGGAATGCACCACCAAAGCTGATACCTCTCCATGGGTCAACTTTCACAGATGGGTGGGACTGCCCACCCAATAGCCACCTGATGTCATCATCATGTCAGAAGATGAACAGGTGAGCTGCCCCTGTCCACCTCTCATAGTTGACCCAGCTAAGCAGGGTCCTGTATGGTTTCAAATTGGATGGGGCCCCATGTGTTGAGATTCCTGCATTGCAGGGGGCTGGACTGGATGACCCTCAGGATCCCTTGCAACTCTACCATTCTATGATTCTATTATTCTGTTCCCCACCCCTGAACTAAGTTATACTCAGAGGAGGCCGATTGGGCAGATCTAAGCCATGTCTATTAATTTAATTGGGCCTATTCCAAATGTGACTAACATTGGAAGCAATCCTTTGTTTGCTAATGTTAATTGTTTTTAACACAAGTGTTTCTGAAAACTGCAGATGGAACAGAAGAGATTACCACTCTTCCCTCTCTACAGAGGCATCTGCTGTGACATACATGCACTGTCTAAAAACACAGAACGTATCATTATTTCTTAACAGTCTTGTCTTGATTCATATGCAAATGAATGCAGATGTAATTGGTTAAAATGGATTAATAAGAGAGAGCCAGTGTGGTGGTTAGAGTGCTGGACTAGGACTAGGGAGACTGGGGTTCAGATCCCCACTCAGCTACAAAACTCACTGGGTGACCTTGGGGCAGCCTTTCTCTCCCAGTCTGCCCTATCTCACAGAGTTGTTCTGAGGATATAAGGCAGAAGGGGAGAAGTGTGTAACCAACCACATTGAGCTACTTGCAGAAAAGGTGGGATATAGATGTAATAATAAAATAACAAGTAATAAAATAAGTTTTCATTAATAAAAAATTTTTAAATCGCTTTTAAAAACTGGTCTACATTTCTTCTTGTTTCAGTGTTAATTACTTAATTACTGTATTTCGTTTTTTCAGTTCAAGTGCAGTGCTAGGTTTTATTCTTAACTCCTGTTGTTTAGCTTTTCTAATCATAGTTAGACCAATGTTATGAAATGTTTGTTTCGTGATTGCTGTTGTTTCAAACGAAGTATGTGTTACATGACTGCAAGCTGGTTTTGTGAATGAATGAATGAATGAATGAATGAATGAATTGGTGTTCAGTCATGCTCCTTCTCAGAGTAGACCATTGAAGGTAATAGGCATGAATAGCTTAGGGTGAATAAATTTATTCAGTCTGAGCAGGACTTAGTTGAATACAACCGATAAATAAACCAGCTAAGATTCATTGAGTGACAGTCACTCTTTCTGTCCCTATCTGCTCATTCTAAGATCGCATCCGTTGTGAGGAACAGAATTGGCTGGCTTACCTGAGAAGCAGACACCTGCTCATATGTAGGAAAGGTGGCCAGGAAGGTTGCCAAGGGGCAGCTTAAAGGGAAAAGGTACTTCCAATGGCACCAGAATGATCAGATAGTGGGGTAGAGCTTTCAAACAATGAACATTCTGTCCCCTTGACCTGTCGCATCACAAGACCATCCACCCATCCACCTTCCTACATTTATATCTTACTAATACTGTCCCACACTGATTTCATAAGCCCCCTCCATTAGTTTAGAAAATGAGCCACTCCAATTACCCTTCTCCTGAGAGATGATGTTTGCTTTCTGGCTAAACTGACACAGCAAATGAATCACCCATCCCTATTTTGAAAGAAGAATGAAGAGTTTAAAATCAGATAGTGCCCAAGTGAGGGCGAATGGATATCCAGAGGTAGAAGCAGAAACATTTAAGAATGGTCCTGGAAATGAACTTAGCGGTGTGCTCAGGGTTGGACCTTCAGGGCAAACACACAGATGTTCAATTTACTCAAATGATATAGGAGGGTGTGAAGCAGGGGTTGGTAAGGGATGTGGCTCAGGGAGAGTCCTCAGGGCCAGTTAGAGAGGCCTCTGGGCTTCTCCACCCCTGATATAAAAAGAAGAGGCATCAACAGACCATTGTGATATTTTTATGGTTAACTTCAGTGAAGTACCGTAATCATATTCTGTAAGCTAATGGGATTCCCAAAGACATCTGTTTGGCCATTATGATAACTGCTGGACTAGATGGGTCATTGGAGTGATCCAGCAGAACACTTCCTATGTTTAACAAAAAATACAGATGCTGTCCTCACTCACCTTGGGCAGGTTGCTGCTTTCACTGCCAAGACTGAAGGAGAGACTTAATAACAACAGCAGAATCCATAGGCTGAACTGGGCCATGAGGGGGACCACTTGCACAATGGGAAGCAAGGATGCTGCCAGTTATACCTTTCTCAGGTAGCCTGGCAACTGCCTTTGTTGCTATGGGAACCGGATTCTAACTTCCTTCCATGTGGTACTCTGTTTCTCTGTTTATAAACTTTGCTCCTGGATTAGCCCCTTTCCACGCATACGGTTGGGTTCCACTTACATGTCACATACTTGATTCGTTTTTTTAATTTAAAAAATTCCCCCCCTCTCCAGACAAAGTTGCCACACCCCTGAAAAAGGAGAAGCAGGAAAAGAAATGAAATATACCACTACCAGCCACAATGGCTACATTCTACCCTTCATTACTGAAGGCAGTAGGTCTCTGTTATGTACTGAGTTGAATAGGATCCAAAATGCAGCAGCCTGATTGGTCCTAGAACAATGCAGCAGTGTGATTGGTCCGCAGGAGCCACCCAATCCAGCTCCAGGTAGAAGTGAATCCACAACCTGATTGGCCTACAGGAGAATCCCAGAATTAGCCGATCACATGCAGCCCATTGTGTAAATAATGTATATAAAGCAGATATTGTGGGGGGAACTTCCATTCCTCCTCACCACTATGAGCTGAATAAAGAGCATGAAATCCACTCTCGACTCCAAGTATATTTCAGTCTCTGAATGCCTAATTCCTGGGATTCGCATGTGGGGAGAGTGTTGCTACACTCAGGTCCTGCTTGCAAGTGTTTCCACTGGGACATCTGGTTGACCACTGTGAGAACAGGAAGCTGGACTAGGTAGGCCTCTGGCTTGAATGTCCAGTAACCCTGTGGGTGGCCTGCTGCTAACGGTGAAGAAACGCCTGTCTGGGGCCACAGCACATCCATTTTGGTTGAGATATTGACTGAAGTTGCGTGAGATCTTGTGGAGCGTGCAATATCTCACACGATTTTGGGCGAGATCTTGAAATTAGCATGGTCTTGCCTGAAATTTGCACCGCTGCTCTCCCAGTAGCAGACACAGCAAGGCAAACAGCAGTGGCAGAGCAGGTGGGTGATGCTGGGAGTGGTGGCAGCAGCGCATGGCTTGCTCATGTCATCTGCTTCCAAATGTGTCCCTGCTGGGATGGGAGGAGCAAAACCTCAGGATGTACCTTCCTATTACGCACATTGCTGAACATATGGGAAGGGTCTGCAAGTGTCGCCTGGGGCTCTGTATTGCCTCAGCTAAACAATTGTCTCTGAGTCCCGCCTTCTCATTCCAATATTTGGCATAATAACTGAACAAACCTTCCAAGTACGCTGTAAACATTGCAAGACATGTTTAAGCAAAATGCTTACCCCAGAGAATCTTGTGAAGTGTAACTTATCTTCACAAAGCTACAATTCTGAGCAACTTTAAGAAAGCTACAGTTCCCAAGATTAATTGGTAGTGGCGGTGGGGAGATTTGTGTGTTTTAAATGCAGCCAGCATCTGGAGTAGCAGTGGGATTTTTTTAAAAAAAAATCTCTGTGTCCAGCTTATCCACACAGACTCCCCTGCCCCCCACATTCCTGCCTTGTACTAGATATCAGTGAGAAGCAACTCATTCCCTACACTGGCTCCACTCAAACAATTTCTGCATATTAAGGTAAAGGTAAAGGACAGTTAAGTCCAGTCGCAGACGACTCTGGGGTTGCAGCGCTCATCTCGCTCTATAGGCCGAGGGAGCCAGTGTTTGTCCGCGGACAGTTTTTCCGGGTCATGTGGCCAGCATGACTAAGCCGCTTCTGGTGAAATCAGAGCAGTGCACGGAAGCGCCATTTACCTTCCTGCCAGAGAGGTATCTATTTATCTACTTGCACTTTTGACGTGCTTTTGAATTGCTAGGTTGGCAGGAGCTGGGGATTCAAACCGCTGACCTTCTGATCGGCAAGCCCAAGAGGCTCAGTGGTTTAGACCACAGCGCCACCCGTGTCCCTTTCTGCATATTACCTGCATTGTTATACACATTATTATAAGTGTAATTATAAGTGCATTATTATACATATAATAATATATACATGTACATTCAAGTTTTCCTGAAGTAGCCAGCACATGAACATGTGCATACCACAATAGATACAGCTGTACCAAACTACTTAGGTATTGATGCTTACAGTTTATACTGCAGAAGACTATTATAGCAAAGGCCTTAACTCTTTCATACACACTATAGATATGGCATTTGTAATGGTGTGTACATAGTTAGACTGTTTTCTTTTATATAACAAGTGGCTTGATGCAACAAGTTCTCCTAAACAGGCAAAGCTCTCTTGGGTTGGAACTAATTTCCATGTAAAACTAGGGTTACCAGATGTCCCCGTTTTCCGGGGACAGTCCCCGGATTTGGAAATTTGTCCCTGGACAAATTCCATCCCTGGATTTCATCTAATGTCCCCGGGAAATGTGGCAGCAGTGGCAGCAGCAGTCTCAGCAGCTAGGAGCCAGCCTGGTAGCGCAGTTGGCTGTGGTTGGCTTCAGGAGCTGCTCACTGCCGTGGTACCCACCATTTTTCCTCTCTGGAAGTCCCCATATGATGTGTTGCGCACAAGACACATCATATGGGGACTCGGTGTAGGAGCTGAAGACACGCTGCTAGGCACCACCGCTGGGTGAGAGCTGCGCAGGGGTCACTGCAACTTGGCACTCAGCTTGCAGTTGATGCCACTGTCCAACACCGGCAGCTCGGGCTCTCACTTGGCCTCCAGGTGGTGCTTGGGCGGCTGTGGCTGCTGCTCGGCTTTGCCATTGTGCTCCTCAACTTGCAAGCAGTGGCTCGATTTGTCAGCTAGCTCGTTGTTGGCCATTGCAGATGAGAGGCGAGCAGGAGACGAGCTGATCTGGCCCAAGTGTGCCTCCTCCCTCTCGCTCGCCGCCAGCTCTGCCCCGGAACCAATGACTGGGCGCACCACTGGACAATGCCTATGCAGCAGATGCCCAGACAGGTGGGCAGGGCAGCAACAGGAGGAGGGGGTTTCTGCTAACGCTTACTCCTTAGTAAGCCTGTAGGGGATCGCAGTGCAAGGAGGGAGAGGGAGGGAGAGGGGGGGGGAGCACAGCTAGTGCTCCAAGAAAGGCCAGGACCCAGAGGAAGGCCACGCAACAGAGGAGACCGCAGAAGAGAAGATATTGCTTCTTTATTTTTTTTCATAACTATTCCTCCCTCTCTCTCTCTCTCTCTCTCTATATATATATATATATTGTGTCCCTGGATTCAGTGAAAAAAATCTGGTAACTTTATGTAAAATTCTATTTTATAACCTGTTCCTTCTCCTAGAGCATTGTGAATAAAGAATGCTGATATAATCTTTGGAAGTAGGGATGGGCAGCTTCATCAATTTTGGTTTCTCCCAGTTCCCCATGTTTCCAGTCTTTAATTCAATTCTCCACACTTTGCAATTTCTTTCCTTTTTTTTTTTTAAGGCCTCATGAAAATTTATCAGCAATTTAGTGCAAATTTCTCCTAATGTACAAATTATTATATGCAGTTTGACCTACTATACACTATGACAAGCAATTTTGCTTAATATAATGCACTTTTGAATGTTATTTTAAGCAATTATGCATTTTAATGTGCACTTTACTTCAGTTTATCCATTTTCACATTCTTTACCTGGCTAGAGAACTGCATTGCAAAATTCAAGGAGCTGTAAATTTTGAAGAATTGCTATATTCCAGCTCCTGAATTGTTTTGAAAAGTGCAAATTAAATGCAAACTGAACTGAATTTCTTCTCAATCCTTATTAGACAGTCAAAAGTAAGACTGGAGCAAGACTCAGGAGTTTGACTGAATCTGTGGGTGTAAGGGTGTGAACAAAGCCAGATTTAAACTCGCAGTACATTGTTTAGGCGATCACCATACTAAACACACAGAGAGGCGAGAGAATAATGCCAGCGTTTTCCTGCCTGGGTGGTGAATCTGGAAACATAGCCATTCTTCTTATAAGAACTCCGTTTCCCAAACCTTCATTAGTCTTTAAGACTCTGTAGTTTTTGCTGCAAGAGACGAACATGGCTACCCCTCTGCAAAATATTTGCAGAAAGCTAATGTCCGTAGAAGTCTAGGTCCTCCTGATAAGCTGGCTTTGGACCCCTGCAGCACCGTAAGGGAGGCAGCTAACCGGTGCTTTTTCTGCCCCTGCTCCTCCCAATGGATTGATCTGGAGACAAGCTTGTTTTGTGTCTCAAGAAACATGCAAAACGCTCCTTTGTTCTTGCGTCTGCCTGCACAGGCATCCGCAGAACGATGCAGTAAATAGCACCAGAGCGGAGGACAGGAGCCAGCCTGCGGACAGACGAGAGATGGTGGTGGAGGCAGAGGGGCAGACGGAGACAGCATGTGTGGCCACATCAGAGCTGCTCAGCGGCATGGAAAGCACCTGCCTCCTGCCTCCAACAGCAGTAAATCACTCTGCACGGTCCCAGCCAGCAAGCCATCATTTATGACAGCTGCTTTTGCATCCCCACTCCTCCTGTTTGCCAGACAGAGACGGAAGAGCAGACAAGAATTATCCCTCCTCTGCCTTTTGCTCCGTTGCATCCATGTCCCCCGGGCCCAATGAAGCAGACCCAGAAGTGCCCCAAATGGACCCGGCCATCCTCATCTTCCTCCTTTATCTGATGATCATCCACGAGCTTGTCAGCGGCTGGATGGAGTACCAGAAGCAGGCGACCAAACCCAAGAAGCAAGCTGGGCCTCTCTGGTCATCCAGGTAAGTTGATTAATGCTGAAGTATAAAGGCAAGAGAGGATTCATCCAGCACACCAAAACATAGGTGTCTGTGTTTGCATGTGAGAGTGTGTGTGCACGTGAAACATTTTGCATGCCGAACATGTGCTCTGCCACTGAACTAGGGCTCTTGTCTCCCCCTGAGGCTCTCTGTCTGCACACTCTTGTCTGTGTGACAGAACTGGGTGGCAGAATTTTTGACTGCCAGCATGTACTGGTGCTACGGATGCACGCAATATCACAATGGTCTGTGTTAATTCATCTGAAACAATGAAGCCACCTAACCCTGGTTTTGACACC